CTCACTTTTTATATTTGCAAAAGCACCTACAGAATACAAGGACCCTTGTAGAAAGTTAATTTTCAGCTCTTTAAGACTTTGTGAGTGCTCATTTTCTGCTTTGAGGTTTCATGGAAAGGACCTGCCCCTGTGGGGTGCACTCAAGACAGGAATGCACCCCAAGGTGCACCCCAAGACAACCTGTCTGTCTGTTCAGCAAGGCTACTCCTACAAATTGTCAGGAAACATGCAGCTGGATGTTGTATACCTTTGTGGGCTCCTTGCAGCACCAGAGGTAGAGCTACCTGTAGATGGAAGGACAGCTCTGAGTTTAGGTGTGCTGGTGTAAGTCCAAAGTGGATCCACAAATGTCAACGTATCTGATTTAATTTCCTTACTATAAATGAGGTTCCACTATGTGCTGAGTGTGGAGCACAGCTTGTCCCAGTGAAGTCAGTATATATGTAGCTTGGGAAACACAGAAGAGGTAAAAATATTGCTCATCTTTAGCAGTGGATTAGGTCATTCTATTGAATGACATCAATGTCCCAGTCTTATGATCCTTTAATATCCTAAGAGAGCAGGGTTTGTAGGAGGACTGACATGCTTACACATGCTTTATTTGAATTGATGAAGCACTGTATAAATTCTAAGCATTCATTTTCTTGAACACGGAAGTTTACTTTTGAATTTGCATTGTAAAGGAGATAAAATAATAAACCAAGATTTGGAAATAATTAATTTGCTGTATTCTGAAAGATTAAAAAATCTTGACCTTGCAATGACTTCTTCCTATTTACACCTGGAATTCTAAAGGGTCCCAAAACCACTTCTTATTGTAATTGACATTAGCTATAAATAGAGAAGTACCTCACTGATTCACAGGGGTTTTTTTGTATTTTATATATATATATAATAATGTATTTTGATATATTATTAGAACATAGCACAAGTTATATTGTATAGGGAGTTGCAAGGAGGAAAATCAGTCACATGTAAATTTTCTTTGGACTCAAGGTGGTAACATGGACAAATGCTGACTAACTTTAATCCCAAATTTTTGTGTGAGCATGGTCACTTAGGTGCTTCCTTATTTAAAACAAAATCAACATAGCCTTTCAGGGGTTTTGTGTGTTGATTATTAATTGTCTTAAGGTTGCAATATTTTATTCTTTTTCCGAAGGATTATGGTAGCTTCATCTCTGAATCTTCTATTCATAGTCTGAAAAGGAAAATGTACAGGTTAGAGTTCTTTATCTGAACAACCTTGAAGAAATAGTTCTATCTATTTTGAAAGGAATTTTGTCTATTTTGTAGTTCTTGTAATAAGGGGCCAAACTTTGAAGCTATTTGTATTCCTAAATAGAAGAATTATCTGTTATTACCTTTGCCGATCCCTTTCCTGCTATAAATAAGAGCAACACACGTTCAGCATTTGAGAGCAAGATTGTTTCAGTCAGATGCCCACCCAGCTTTTGATTTCTAACTTCAGGCTCCTAAATTAGCTGATAACCTAAACAGATGCTACTGCATTGAAGACAACAAAGTCATACACACATTTCTTATGCTAGTGACAAATTTGATTTATAGATAAAACTTAAACAATGAAAAATTACACATCTTTTTCTTGCCAAACCACAACAGACAGTAATTTAGGGTTTCATGTCATAACCATTTCTAAAACATTGTTCTTTAGAAAAATCTTTGTAAAGATTTATTAATTTACAAATTGATAACAAATAGATGCTTTATCTTTAAATCCTCATATCCATACATAGGGCTCTCTTGTTTTCTGGAAAGTCAGTGACAATGTCTTTGCTGATTTTTCAGAGAAGGAAAGGGAGGAAAAACAGGGCATGTTTTCCTATTCATAGATTTAGCATATCAAAGGCAAAGCAGTAAAGTCTACTCTTAGCACTTAAAATTTAGCCCAAGACATGTTACGCTCAAGTCCAGTGTGAAAAACCTTTTAACAGACACAGAACCAAAACCTATGCATGGCTCATTGCAGAGTTGGAGGGGAGGGGGGATGTCCTGTTGTGTATTCTTTGCTGATACAGAGCCAAAGCTGAAGTCAGCTGGGATTTCATTATTATTTACCAGATACCACAGGAGTACAGTTCTTCTCTGGGAGGGATTCAAAACACCCTGAAGGATTTTTTAAAGTTCTTTTTTTTGCTTTTATCAATTTCTAACTACTTACAGATTTTACTCTACATTTAGGAACCATGTTTAATTGTTCTAAGTAATTATTGGGGGGAAAAAACATCTTTCTATCGTAACTTTTCCACCAGCTCTATTTTCTCTCTGTGTTTCATCCCTGGGAAATGGATCAACTTTGCCGAATGTCTTAAAATCACCTAAATCCAGGATAAACTCTGAAGTTGTTAGTGTGAGATCTGAGGGCAGATGTGTTTCAGGACAGGTAGTCATCCAAACTCACGCAAGGCAAGCTAGGAGTATTCCACTCCAAAAAAAAAAAAATAACAAAACCGAAACAAAACAAAAAACCCACAGCAAACTGTACTCCAGTTTACCTCCATTAAAAAAACCCCAAACCAAACAAACAAAATAATCCATCCTGTAGTTTACCTCTCCATTTAAGAATTGGGAAGTATTTTCAAACTGAATTCTGCCTGATGGCAGCAAGAGGCAGGAAGGAGTACAGCTCATAAGTGTGCACTTTAAGTTGCAGAAATACTGAATGTAAGGCTTGTCATGCCAAAGGCAGGGAAATTCAGGAATACAAAATAGAAGAAACTTTCTCTTTTACACCTCCTCCCCTTGTCGCTTCCAGTCCTGCTGAAGCCCTAGCAATAGGGAGAAGGCAGGTGCAGTAGGAATAAAGTGCCCTTCATGAGGGTGACTCCTTTCTGATCGGTATTTTCTTGGCATGTTTCATTTGTTTGGTTAGGGTTCACTGTCCTCTGTAAAAAAATGCGTAGTAATCAACTGATTAACAGTAGCCTGGTGACTCTTGAAGGCAGTAAAAGATGCACAGGCATTTCTTTTTTTCTTTCTTTGTGTTCAGTCATACTTGCTGAAGAAATAAGGCACTTGTACCATACCACCTGCCATAAATACACCATGTTTCCAGTAACTGAGCAGACTACAATTATAGGGTTTTCCCTCCTGCAAGAGAAGCTGCATTTCCCACTGACTACTTCATTAAAAATGGACCTATTGAAAGCTCTTCAGTCCCATAGGAACTAATGCAAATTGTGGAGTGGAAGTGGCTTTTTGCGTTTTGCATGGCTGCAGTAATTTCTGAGAATTATATATAGACATTAAACAAATTGTTTGTCTGGAATTAAAGTTTAAGAGCAGAATAAAGAAAGACAGTGCATTATTGGATATTAAGCAGTGTTATGGTACATGTTAGGTGTTCTGTGAGAATACGCAACTTTTTTTGCAAACTTCATAGACCAAAATCTGTTCCACAGCCTATCTGTCTGCAGCCCTCAGGTCTACACGCTCTCTTTTTGCAAGTCTAGTGTGGACCTGGTGAGAAAGCCGGGATTTGTAAGGTGGAAGGGGGATCTGAGATGTACTGTTGACATTCAGAGGCAAGTAAGGAGACCATAAAATGAAATTAATAAATATAATCATGACTGTTTTGCTTTCACACTACTGCTTGTTGGATAGCAGGTTGAAAATATTCTTTTGGAAAAAAAATATGGAAGTTGGGCTAAAAAGATTAGGATAAAGTTGAACCGTTTCTTAGGAACATGAACTACATCCTCCTTTGCCTTCAACTCTCAAGAAAATGCTTCTTTAATTCCAGGAAACAGGCTTGATGGGGCAGGCATCTCAGTTATAAGGAACAGCAAAGAACAGCTTCTCTGCTTAGTAGGATGTGAAAGCCAGCCACACCAGCTGAAGATGTGACCTATCATAACATGGCTGAACAAAGAGCTTGTAAGCTCTTTGTTCCCTTCCCACCTGAGGCTACCTCAGCTGCCCACGCCATATTTCAAGGTGGGGACCAGGTTGTGCTGGGACTACCTGCTCCAGCAGCACATCTGTTATCCAAGGGGCCACCAGCTGTCTGGAGCCAGCGCTGGAGCCCTGGGACCTGCAGGGTCCCCTTCCAATTGAAAACCTGAATTTTGTTTCTACGCCACTAACCCTCCACACGCTTCTCCCTGGTGCTTGTGGTCACTGGCTCCTCGGAAGATAGTGTTTCGCAAGCAGAGGACAGGAGCTTCCCAGTATGGCTCACCATGCTGAGGAGCCAGCCATCTGTCAGCAAAACAGGAAGGCACGGGTTCCCTTTCCCTCCTGGGCTCGTTTTACTATTTTCGGGAGCTGTACTTCTCCCCTGTGCAGCGCTAAGCCGGTGTGGTCGGAAGGAAGGGCTCCCGGGCGAGCGAGGGGCCAAAGCCTGAAGCTGCTGCTCTGCCCATCTGCCGTGGCTGGAGGTGTATTCATTATTAATGGAGGTAGTGGCGGTGGCTGCTCAGATATGCAGCCCTGCCTGGGTAAATGAGACATTCTTCAGCAAATTGCTTCGTTTTTTGATTGCTGATTGTATGTGTGTCACCAAGCTGACTCAAGGTTCATCGATGCATGCTCAGTAAATTAGAAAGAACATAACTATGGATCAACCAAGAGAATGAATTCTGTGCCTACAATGACCCAGGGCCATTTAATTTTCTGCTTAATTTTGTTGCAGTCAGTTTGCATTTTGGGTTATTATGCGGTAGGAAATTAACAATAAATAACAAATTTGGTCCTCCTGTGCTTGTAATGATATTTTTATAAATCTTTGTAATGCTGTTTTTCAAAGGATCAAGGTCTGCTCCAGTCTGATACTCTAGCAAGTATGCAGGGAGGAAATAAAGAGAAAAATACATTATTCTTCCCAGATAATCTTATAGTTAAATAGCAAAGGTTTTTTTTTTCTTTTCCTTTCCCCTTCTTTCTCCTTCTATGTGTGTGTAAAGTTGTTTTTTTTTCTTTTTTCTGTGTGTGTATGTGTGTTATTTTGCATTAACATAAGGCTCTTCCTCTCTTCTCAGATAACTTGAGGAAAATGGAAACAGATGAGGCTCAAGATATGTCCCAGGTTTCAGGTGAGGTCCTTAACAAATAGTTCTACAAAGAAAATACTAAATTCCTGCTCATCTTTCTAGCACAGTACAATGTTTTTCTTCTTGTCAATAAAATTGCTTTGGGTCTTTTTTAAAACTAGAGTGGGAATTGAGATATAATTAATGATATCACTTGATATCAAGCCCAATGGTGCATGGATTTTTTTAAAAGGAACTGTGTAAGTAAAGAAGTCAAGGGAATATAGAAGCATGGATGTAATTTTGCATTAAACCTGGGGTAGTGTATCCCTGAAGCATGGTCAAGTGCATGTTTACACTGTTTCTTTTGGGACCAAAATTCTGATTGTTACAAAATAAATATAGAACATACAACGTTCACCAGTTGGGAGGGGGCACAAATACTAATTAAAAGCAAGCAAACTGTATTTACCCCATAGGGTTATTTGACTTTTTTCCAAAGCATTCAGTTTTACTTACAAATGTTTCAAAACAGAAGGGGAAAAAAAAAAAAAAGAAAATGAGAACTGATTGGCATTAGACTTTATGCTTGTAACTGGTTTTGCCCAAGATGACAGTTTGTTTCTAAAATTTGCCCTGTAGTGGCATGGATAGTATTTTGCAGTCTTACCCCATATTGATATTCCTGGGGGATATTCTTAGCTTTCTTGGAAACTGGGTCCTTAAAAAATTGGCTTTGCAAGATAGTATATATTCATACTGCTGTGCCTCTGCAGCTGAAAAAGGACAAGTTAGTCCCTTTCCTAGTTTCCCTAACATGTTGGCAGCTGCAACGGTTAATGGCTTTCAGTTTTCACTTTTAGTGTTCAGCCTGGAACATGATAGCCACCATCACTGGGGCCACTCATGGCAGACACCTGGGCATGCAGCTCTTTCTTAAGAGGCAGCTCTTGGGCACTGCTGGCTCAGGACTTCGAGGGTCCAGCTATAGGTGGACCCTCCAGGTATATATAGCTAGGTAGCTTGTCAAGGTCTGGGTACAGTGTGGGTGACTAGGTCACTGGGTTTTCCTGAAATATATGAATACAATTTTCTTTCCCTCTCTCTCTTTCTTTTTTACTTCCTCCTTTCTAAAAATTTTGAGAATTTTTGTCAAAAATTGGAACTGAGGACTTTTAATCTCATCTGAGAATTGAAAATCAGACAAATATTCTGTCTGAAAGAGCAGCAATAGGATAATCTTTAATGCCAACAGAAGACTACCAGTTACATTTATCATAGGGAAGTCATTCCTAGTCAGCCCTGTGGAGGCATGTTGCACTCCCCTCCTCAGGTAACCAATTTTAAATCATGTATATGCTGGATATACTTACACATTACTGTTTTGTTGCATGCTGAACAAATTTGTAAATGAAATAAAACCTGTCCTATGCACTCTGTGCTTGAAACCTGCGTGGCCCTAGCAGAAAAAGCAGAGGGGTTTTAATCCTTTATGCACTGTGGATCTGCTCGGAGCAGTGAGAAGGCACCATGATTCAGGTCCAGCTCCTCTGCCTGTGGCAGAAACCCTTTCCCGCTTGTGTGAGCTCCTTAGGGCAGGAGTGCTGACCTCCTCTTCCTCTGCAGCAGCAAAACTACCCTGGATACCCACACCTAACCGTTGTGGTACTCTTTACAACAATGTGAATTTGAGCTCCTCACCTGCTATTTCTTACTAGAGTTGCTTTTTTTTTTTTTGTTTTGACATGGAAAGGAGCACTGTGGGAGATGCTGCCTTGACTCAAGGAGTGCATTAGAAGGTCAAACACTTGGCCTTCCTTGTGGTCTGCTTCTCCCTTGACAGGGAAGACTTGCAAGAAACTTTGCCATTTTGAGTGCTTGTGTGTATATAAATATATACATAATAGATGTATATCTGTGTATATAATTTGTAGCTCTCAAAGTTTTGCGTTATTTGAACCACTGTAGTACTCTGTTGTGCCTTGTAGCTTTTCTAGCACATCCTGCAATAGTACTATTCTGTGATGAGAGGATTTTCTTCAAAAAGAAAGTTACCTCTGATAAGAGGTAGACCTACACAAACAGATTAAAGGAAAAAAAAAGTCAGCTTTGAGCTCTTCCTGCCATTTCTGCCACTGAACATCTGGTACTTTCTGTGAGCAGAGGCTGTGAGTTGTGTTAGGTCGTTAGCTGGATTTGTGAACAACTGGCCAAAGAAAGAACTTGCTAATTTACTTTCATTTATGATATGAGTAGTCTGTGAACTCAGCGTTTAGTGCTTGTCAGATTAGGTTCCACAGATACTGGCTCCTTGTAAGCTCTTACTAGACCTCAAAAGTGAAGGATCTGAAGCTACAGGGATGTTTCCTACTTCTTTCTCATAGGCTGGTGAATCCAGAAAGTTTTCCCCGTTGTCTTCTTCTGGGGTTCTACATGCTTCTGGGAGGCTTCCTTGCATGACAAGGGAACCACTCAAACAATTGCATGGTTTCAGGAGTGTGAGATTTTTTGTCTTGTCAGCTTTAAAACACTTTTATCTATTTTTCCTGTTCAATGAGTAATGCTTATCAGGTGTAACTTACTCTCTGGGCCCATGGAATTAGGTGACTTGGTTCACTAGCACACTTGGTTGTGTTTAAAAAAAAAAATTAAAAAATAAATTTGGTTTGGTGGGTTTCTTTGGGGCATTTTGTTTTTTTAACTCAGAAGTGAAACAGGTCTCTAGAAACAGTCTCCTCGGCTCAACAGCAGTGTCTTGCAGCCATGTGCTTTACACAGCTGCAGCTGGCTCAGGTGTGGCAGAGACCTGCTGGGCCAAGACAGAATAAAACTAGTGTGAGCGAGCCAAACCCTACGTGCACACTGGCATTCCAGCCTCTGGGAATCCAGGCATGGCTGACTCCTAGAGGAACTGAAATACTATCTGACTAACACAGAGTTCACACTTTTTATTTTTCTCCTGAAAGCGATATTTCATGAGGCAAGCAGTTGCAGTTCTGAAATGAGGAGAGAACTGACATACATTTAACCAAACGGTATCCGGCACCCATACACAAGAGTCAGAAAACACAGATAATATCTCACTTAACAAGCAGTATTTTTCCTGCCTTTTTTTTTTTCTCAGTTCTAGGGCCTAACAGTTAAGGAAGGTGAAAAAGTGGTACAAATGTTTCCACATCTAACGTTAAAAGATCCCCTACCACGAACCAGGCTGGGCTTGGCTCTGCAAAAGCAGGAAGAAGAGTTTTGCATTTGATGTTCTTGATAGGTCCTGGAAAGGTGAAATGAGTGTATCCTGGGTTGGTGTCTGCCACCTGAGAGCCTGGCTCCCGTTGCAGTGACTCTTCTCATCACTGGAGATTTAAGTTTCTGCCAGTGAAAAGGAGATGTGAACCGGGTTGTGACTTTCATCCAGAAAAATTCTATGTTGCTTTTCTTGCAGGATTTCTCCAGTGATTCTAGTGTTTCCATAGGAAACAACCTTTGATATTAAGTACACTCAAGGTTAGTTTGTGGCAGGATAGGGACTTCTATAGGAAATCTGCCCTGGCTTTTTTTTCAACAGTGGTAGCACCACCAGCACCATCCTGGTATGAACCAAATTGCTCTCAGAACTGGATGGAGGTGTTAAAGGAACATCAGGCTATGGAGTTTGACAGAAATAAAGGATGCTAAAACCTTACTGGACTGGGCACTTTTTTCCCTTCCTCTCTTTCCTTATGTCTACAGCTTTATTTCTGGGGCAGAGATGAGGAAACTCAAATAGAGAGAAGTTGAGTGTCTTACCAGACACTGTTGTTAGGGATGGGCTCTTCTCTGGCTATTTTCATACAGAAATGGCAGTGTTTGGAAATCTGAGACCATCTTTCAGAGATGCAGGCTGAATTGAAGGAATGTTTGACACAGACTGCAATTGAAGTTGTCCCCATTTATGAAGTAACCAAGAGCACTGTGAATCAGTAGCAGTGCCAGAAACAGAACTTCAACTCTATAGATAAGATGGCTCTTTCTAATAAGTAATTAAAAAAACAAAAACAAAAAAAAAATGAAAACCCCAAAACCAAAAAACACCCCCTCCATCCAAGATCAGATTGTGATGTTTATACTTCACTTCCCTCTACTTTAATAATTTTCCCCAGTACTGGCCACTAGGTGTTGAGGTTTTTTGAGCTCCTTTTCCTTCAATCAGTTATTGCTCTGGACATGCCTGTCAGAAATTAAATGGGAAAGCATTCCATCCCTTGCCCCACCCCCTTTGCAATTCTAAATTCATTGGCAAAAGAATGTTAGTGGGATTGCACATCTGTAAGATTGCCATGCAGTAGTGAACTTACCATGGTGTAATGATTTAGGTGTAGTTAAGGCATTAAATGCAAATACGATGCTCTAGAATCCAAGATACAATAAATGAATCTATTTTAAATTCACTATTTTTACCCTGTCTTTTTGCATGTAGGGATTTCTCAATCATGTGTAACAAGAAATCGAATTATATTAAATGGGTCATTAAAGTCAAGTTTACTTGAGTTTTCTTAACTGCAGTGTCCTGCAAAGAGGGAAGAATACCTGATCTCCAGCTCCTGCCCCACCAAGTTCATGAGACTAGTCTGATTCATGTCACCTGGGCAAATGCCTATTAATTTTACAAGTATAAGACTGATACCTGTTTAGTGAACCAAAGAGTTCACCACTGCAAAAGTACTCATCTGCTAACAGGTTTCTCTTCCAAAAAGATTTAATTAACTTATCTTCAAAGCATCCTACTTAGCCCACTGTAGTGGGTTGACCCTGGCCAGATGCCAGGCACCCACTAAAGCCACTCTCTCGCTCTCCCTCTGTAACTGGACAGAGGACAGAAAAAAGCCAGCTAAGGATTCATGAGTTAACAGCCGGAAGAGGTCACTTACTGATTACCTTCACAGGCAAAGCAGACTCAAAGTGGGGATAGTACTTAAATTTATTACTAACAGGCTAAGAGCCAAAGAGTGAGAAATAAAACAATCTTAAAAACACCTTCCCCCCACCCCTCCTTCCTTCCATATTCTCCCTCCTCCCCCCCAGCGATGCAGGGGGACAGGGAATGGGAGTTGCGGTCAGTTGTTGTTTCTGCCACTGCTCAGAGAGAGGAGTCCTTCCCCTGCTCCCGTGGGGTCTCTCCCACAGGAGACAGTCCTTGACGGACCTCTCCGATGTGAATCTAAACTGCTGTCCCGTGGGTCACTCCTCCATGGGGTGCAGTCCTTCACAAATGAGCTTTACTGACGTGGGTCCCCCACAGGGGCCCCAAGTCCTACCCGGGGAAAACCTGCTCCAGCGTGGGCTTCCCTCTCCATGGGCTGCAGGTCTCTGGTAGGACCCTGCTCCATCTTGGACCTCCCACAGGGTTACAGCCTCCTTCATGCATCCACCTGCTCCAGCATGGGCTCCTCCATGGGCTGCAGGTGGGTCTCTGCTGCTCCACCATGGTCTGCACCATGGGCTGCAGGGGCCTCAGCTCTGGTGCCTGGAGCACCTCCTCCCCCTCCTTCTGCGCTGACCTTGGTGTCTGCATTTTTGTTCCCATGTTCTCATCCCAGTCTTCCCTGGCTGGAATTTTGTGCCACAACCTTCTGTTTTTAAATATGTTATCACAGAGGCGTTACTGTTACTCCTGATTGGCTTGGCCTTGGCCAGTGTCAGGAGGTCCCTCCTGGAACTGGCTGGCATTGGCTCCACGGGACAGGGGAAGCTTCTAGCAGCTTCTAACAGAAGCCACCCCTGTAGCCCCCACCCCCACCCATGCTACCAAACCCAGCCACAGAAACCCACTACACCTGTGTATTGTAGGACACCTAATTACACACTAAGAAAGATTTTATTTTATTTGCTATCTATTGTTATCTCATAGGTCTGATATTATGAGTTTATATTGGTTTGTAACCAAAAAAAGTCTTCAAGTTTTTGGGGTAAATGTTCTCAGTCTAGACTAAGTCAAAACATCAACTTCCGTTGTTGTAACTGGGAGCACAGTTTGGTCCTTGGAAGATGCAGGTGGCTTTTGGTTACTGTTACTTTTTAACAAATTTCCTTAACCCACATGTAGTGTGAAGAGAGCTGCCAGGCTGCCGCTTGCCCTCCCATTAAACTTGCGGGGATTTTTTTTTTTTGCTGTGTGCTGGAAAATGTGTTGAACAAACTGAAAGATTTCAGCTGTCTTTCCTCCCATCCATCCTATCTGTAATAGACACCTCAGCTTGGCAGGATGGGACTTGTGTTGGAAAGTTGCTGGCAGTTCTATAAGTTCCTTACATCCCAGAAAACTACAGAAATAACTGAGCAAGGAGCTAAACGGTAAATGGCAAAAACTGTTTTAAAGAACTTACTTTCTGCTTTTACTTTCCTTTGCTGTAACATTCATATTCCCTCTTTTCCATTTATGCAACCCACCTTTGCTCTTACACTTGCATCCAGTGGGTGTGATTTTGCCCATTTAAGAGTACCCCACAGAAGCTGGATATGGGAGGACCTTATGAAATCCTCTAGTTAGTCCTTCTGCCAGTGCAGTACTGTTTCTTCATTACCCTTGAGTCCTTCTGGCTGCAGTTTTAGATGGTTCAGCTGATGCCACTCTCAACACTCCCACTCAAGATTATTCAACAGTTTGATAGGTATGTCATTAAGAAGTGCAGTCAAATACTCATATCATTCATTTAAACATAGATTTGTGCAAACGAGCCAAAACAGCTCATTTGGAAGATTACTTAAACCTACCTGTCATTTCCCACCATTGTGATCAGTATAGATCAGAAAGCACAATGCTTTGCTCCATCCAGTTGGGAGGAAACCATTTGCTTCATTCAGATCGAGTCCATAACTGGCATCACTAAACTGCTGTCACTTAAGTAAGCTATATTTTCTTTAGTTTTTCTTTTTCTGATAAGTATCTTCAGGTTTAATTTACGTTTGTGTTTTAATGAGGGAATTCTTATTAGGAGAAAAACCACTAATTTGCTAGGGCTTTGTGCCATGAAATTACTACCCTTGCTGGTGTGCCAATTGCCATGGGGCTTCTAACAGATTGCATCAATGTAATTTGGTAACATCTCCATTTTGGAGACAAGGGTCTTATGTGAACATTACTGAGTTCAAATCCTGCTCTGGCCCTGTTCTATTCTTTGCTATTAATGCAAAGACCAGCCTTTTAGTAATAGTCAATGAAACTAATCACTTAGATAATTATCACTTAGATAATTCTTTTGGTAATTGTTTCCAAGGGATGCTTTTGTTAGCAATTTTAAAAGAAGCTCTGCAAGACAGGGATATTACTGTAGGCAGGACATGTGTGCCGTGACTGAGAGCTGAAGCAAGAAACATCGCCATTTCTGGAAGTGCAGTACTTAGCAAGAGAGTTCTTTTTCTTGCTGTATTACATTCACCACTAAAACAGTTCCACAATACTTATAATACATTAAAGCACCAAACTGTTTTCCTCTGCAAAACCTTGTGTACACAAGATATTGGGATTTGTTTCCTCTTAGTAAAACCCTCGAAGTCATGTGTTGAATGAACTCTGTCCGTGTTTTAAGAAGTCCTGGGAGCTACAGGCACTTCACTGCTTTTAATCACAAGGACCAGCCAAAGCTTGATCTGTGGGTGTTGGTGAAGCTTGCTGAAGTTGTAGTTGAATTTTTATTTGAAGATAAAATTTTACTTTTGGGGTAGTTCTTTTGGAGCCCCAGAATACTTGTAGGTTAGACTTCACTATGTTTTTGAAGCAAATCTGGGTATGCTTTCAAGGAGCACTTGTCGAAGAAAGAAAATTTTTTACAAAGGATGTCCATTTGATAACCTTTTTAATCTGTCAGTCTGTGTTGGCTGAACTGGATCTTCTGAGTGTAGCAGCTGGAGAACATACATGTGTCTTACAAATATCCAAAATGGTAAGGCTGATAACTGTGTATCCAGCCTTCAGTATATTTGGAAGAGATATTGGCATGCATTCTTTTCACAAATATAATTCTCCTGTACTCATAAAAAGTTTTCTCTGCAGGAGAGTAGGTTTTGGTCCTAAGAATATCATGCTTTAGATAGTGTTTAGGGTTTTTTGTTAAGTTTTATTTGGTTTGTGGTTCCTCTTATGGTAATATTTGAAAATGAGGCTACTCTGATGACTAACTGATTCTGCTTTCTTCACTACTAGGAAAGGAAAGTCCTCCAATTAGTGATGTCCCAGATGATCCAGATGAACCTATGCCGGTGCCAGAGGACCTTTCAACTAGTACTGGAGGACAACAAAGTTCTAAGAGTGACAGAATCTTGGGTAAGATGGCAAGTCTACTCTGATAAGAAATACAAGTAGATAATATAGTAGATAATGTTAAAGTACTGTATATCAAGCTGGTATATAGAGAGGTCCTGTGCCTTTTTGTCTTGCTAAGGTGCTTAGTGTTTTTTGTGCAACCTTTTCTTTGGGAAAGGCATCTTCACAGAGAAGATACAAAGATCCTGCTGTTTGTCTTCTTTCTAAAGCATGACTGGTTGTATAAAATTGTCTCCAGGAAAGATATTCCATTTTACCTCAGAAATGGAATTAAATATGTGATTCCAGGTCAAAATTATTGGAACTCAGATTTGATAAAAATTCACTGAATTCTCAGATATTTTCATTATTATTATTAATTTGAATGTTATCTGCTATTCAGATTTCTCCAGAAATGCCACATTAGAACACACATAGTATTCATATGTTTGAGATTCCAATATTGAATCTTCATTTACCCTTTATTTTTTTGCCTGGCAGTACTTTAGAAAACACTTGAATTTTGTTCTACTAGGTAAAAATCCACAATTGATAAAATCTGTTGGGTTAAAATAAATTATTGTCCATAGATGATTGTGCAAAATGCTGATTCTTCTTAGAGATCCCAGACTCCACACCAAGGACTAGCAATGACTAATGCATGCATCCACTCACATGTAGTGTGTTAAAAAAGACTAAATTATATAACTTGAGCACCATGCTTATTTACTAGTGGGGGGAGGGGTAAGAAAAAGGGGAAAAAAAAAAGCATACTGACTCCCAGGATGCTGTGATCAATGCCCAATAAATGCTCCTTCTGGAAAGGAGTGACTATCAAAATACATTAGTTTGTCCACAAATAAAAGTATTGCTCATCATTTTTACATTCCTCTTGTAAGAATGAGGGTCAAAGTGGAAGACTTTTTAGAGAAAGATTGCAATTGCCTTTAAATGTTTATTGTCTAAGGAAGTCCAGTAAAGGATGTTAGGTGAGAATGGAGGCACAGAAGGCAAAATAACCAACTGAAGGTAATACAGCAGGATGGTGTCAGCATTAGGGATAGAACCTGCTCCCAAACTTCAGCAATGGCTAGTAGAGAAGCATCTTATGCATCTTCTCTTTATTTACCACTTGATCCTCTCTTCCCAAAAATCTGAGCACAAAGTTCAGCTCCTACATGTATATTGACATACCTTATGAACAAATTCATTTTTAAAAATGCTTTTAAATAGTCTGATCACTTACCTAGTGCTTTGTTTTTCAGTCCGAAGATCTTTGGACAAAATCTTGCCTTAACTGCTTGCGTATCAACTCAATAAAAAGAGTTAAGTCTCCTTTCTCCCACAGTAACTAAACCCAACAAACTATTTAAGCCTTAATTTAAAAAATAGTAATAATTTTTTAAGTTCTTTGTTCAAACCCAAACAAAGATTTTTGATTGCATTGAATTTTCTTTACTTCACAAAAGTCAAACTTTTTATTTGCTGATGATGTCATGATCCCCTCAACAGTTCAATCATATAGCAATATAAATACATATTAGAAGTTACTGTAATCACTTTAGTGTCTTAAATATGATAAGTTCTATCTGTTGTTCTCATTAGTAAGCGGTAAATTAGATTTTCCATGTCCTGTCTTCAACGGTTTTTTTACAGCCACTTTCTCTACCCCTTATCTCTTTTGTTTACAAGGATTACATCTTGTAGTGATGTCTTATTGAACATAGTAAACAGACACATTACTCTGTTTTATGGATGATTTGTAGGTATCAACTCCATTTCTTGCAATGTTTGTCTTTTCTGTAAAGCTGCATACAACCTTTACTTCTACTGCTCCTTTTATCTAGCCCTAAAATAACTTTCTGAAAAGAATCTACTGAAAAAATTAATTCTTCGGTTTTACAAAGAGGATCTGAACATATGCCCCAATCATATCAGGAGCCATGTGATTGCTATGCACATTTTGGGTCTTCATCAAAAGAAAATCCCTTAGGAATAAACCAATGCCTTAGGAGTGGTGTTTGGCCTGCATGATTCCATAGCTGCATTAGGGATGAAGGGGACTGTCTTTCTATGTAGGCAGTGACTTGGCAGTGTAGACAGGCTTGATGTTTAGTGCAACACTATTGTCTCTAAGTCCCAAGATCAATTTCTCACCTCTATTTATCAAGAAACGTAGGTAGAAAAGGATGAAAAAGTAGTTTGAAAAATGAAAGATAGACAGGAGAGTTATGTAAGGACCCACTGATATTATAGAAGTATATCTCGTGGGTGGGAGATAGACTGTGGCCTGTGATAACTGACTGGCCAGGCAACAGTTTTTCTCTGTATTACTTTCCTAATGTCCCATCTGTTTCCTTCATCAAAAAGCAATCCCTATGAATTTTGATGTATTTTAACACAGGATTTTCAGTGCATCTCACCTTATCTGTAAGACCCTGAGAGATCAACTGTCCATACAGCATGCACCAAGGAATTTGAGTCAGACATTTATGGAGGAGAGCCTCTACATTCTGATGGACTTTTTTGTACATGTAGTACTGTAGAGGTAACAATGGGAATTGCAAGTTTATTGAATGAAAAGAGTAAGTATTTACCTCATCCTACTAAAATTAGGTGAGAATTCTGTTGTTAATTTTAAACAGCCTTTGAGATAGAAATGTTCAAATGACCATTTGCTTACTTGAATTATCAGTAACACTTCATGAAATCTTTAACCCTGGAATCAAAAGTTTAACTACCTTTTTCATCAATTTAGCATTTTAAAAGTCAAAGATTAGGGGAAATAAGCTATTTTTAGAAAAGAAAGATAGGCCTTAGCTCCTCCACCTGTTTTCAAAAATCTCCTTTCATGATTCTTCCAAACCTGTAATGAGACTTGAATGTGGTACTGTAGAGCTGATAGAGAAAATTGTTTGAAATATCTCTCCTGCTCTGAGAATGATGTTGGAAGTCTTCCATTCACTTGTCAGATTTTATTGGGTGCCTTCAGTTTTTGAGTTCTCACTTAAAATGACTGGAGGGAGGTATCCAGAGGTTCATGAAATGTATGTTTTGACTTGTGTCCCCAGACAGGGGGGAAACCCAAGACATGGGTTGCTTCTGATCAATGCAAAAATGATTAGCAAGTGTGAGAAGGTAATTTACGGAAGTAAAGTCATCAACTATCTCTAGTAATAACCTCAAGTAGCACAGCAAAACAGAAACACATTGAAAGACTTGTTCTGATCACTGCTCATTTCCTTGATGAGCTTACTATGACTTTAATGTTGTAACCCCCAGAATACCACTATGTGTTGAGCAGCTTCCTCCTGCAAGCCTAATTTCTGCTGCTCTGTCCAATAGATCTTCTTCTTTCTTGGTCCTATTCTCCACCCCAGATCTGGCACCTGTAACTTTTTTTTATTATTTTCTTTTTATTCTTCTCACCCACCTGCTCTACATGTAGTTTCTCTAGAAAACACAAGGAATGTTTTAAGCACTGCTGATTTTCACAGCTCTTTAAGGCACTAGAGACTCTGTTTTACCATCTCTCCTAAATAACATTTCAAAATTTTGGTCTGAGTTATTTATAAATACACATCCCACTGAAATTCTATTCCGTTAAGATTTAGTGCTTTGTAGCCTATTTCAGACAGTGCTATTTTCCATGCTAACCTATTTGAAATACTATCTGATGATTCTTACTGTCTCCATTCAAGTTTCAGGTTAAACATTGTGTGCACCTTTTGTGGATGATCGGTGCTGAACATCCTCTATGTGGTAGACAGTTGAAATTTAGGGCTGTTTGTGATCTGAGACTGTATCCTGATCCATGTGTGGGAAGCTAATGATTCGGTGGGCTGTAGATTGGACCCTACTTAATGGAGAAAGAGCCATTTGCTGCAGTGGTGGCATTTGCCTAGGAAGGTAGGCAGTACCTTCTTTATCCATAACTGCCCATGTCAGAGCTGGCCATCACTGGGTAAAAGACAAAAACCCATCTCACAGTGTTAGTGGCCTCAGAAAGAGGCTGTGGGCTCACTGTTTCTGCACAAACAGCTGTCTGAGGCTGCAGATGACCATAAACTTCCAAAACAGAAGTCAAGGGTTACCACCATCGTCACAGATTAGAGTCTGGACCTGGAATATACGTCTACAGATCTTCTTATTTTTAAGAGGTGGGGAGAAGTAATCTCACAAAATTAGATTGAAACTTGTACAACTGACAGAGAATGTCCAGAGTAATAAGTCAAGGTGAACTTAGACATCAAAAGAAAACAGATGAGATTTTTATGAAATTATAAATTCTATTTGTTTAAAATAAAGGATCCTGGTATGGGAAGAGACAGTAAAAGGAAAGTGCTTTTTTGACATTTTTCTCCTCCAGGGGGAAATATCAAGTGATGATATTACCTCCCTCCCACAATCCAATTTTTGAAGCAGAAGCCTTTATAGCTGCGGGCTTCAGTGCCTGGCATCACTGGGACCCTGGCATTGTCTTCAACCTAGAGATCTTCCCTCCCAGCCATGGGCATTCAGATGTGGTAACCTGCATGAGTAGCTAGTTACTAGTGCAGGAAAGTGTCCCCATCCTGAGCAGCTTTGGTGCTTTATTTCCTTAAAAGGAGCTCAGTCATTTGAGAGCACGGACACAAGCTTTGCTGAGGGGCCACCAGGCAACCACAAGAGCTTGCCATTACATAAATCTGCTGCAACTCTCACACAACTGGGTGGAGACAGAGTAAAAGTGTGGAAAGGCTGCAGACAGAGGGGAAAAGGGAGAAAAGAAAAAAGGAGAAGTGCCCACACCCTGGCTTACAAAATTGGTCCTGTGGTTTAGACAGGTCCAGGTCACTGCCCAGTAATTCTGTGAGGCAGGGAAAGGGGCTGAGGAAAAAGACTGTGGAGCTAAATGTCTTTGCACACTCCTCCTGTGGGAATCCAGTGGCTATGAAGGCAGTGTATTGTGTGTGAATAATAAAATGCACATGTGGCATGTGTGCATGTGGACGTTCAGAGAACTAAATTCAGAGAGCTAA